GGTGCTGGAGAAACTACCATCTTGGAAATGCCACCTCAAATAGATGGGATAAAAAGCCCTAAGAAAAGCTTGTTCTCTCAGGCCAAAAGGCCAACTTAGCCAGACAGAAAAGTCATAAACAATAACCAGTGCAACCAAACACCACATAAAAACTGTACCTTCACTCAAGCCAATAAAGGCCAAGTGGAGAATGTAGACTTTCATTCTGTCCAGGCTCCTCTACTCTCTCTGGGGTGGTTTGAGAGAAGGCTAACTAGAGAACCTAGACTTCCACCCTGAGAGGGTAACAAGGCCTACAGTGCTAAAGGAAGCCTAGTAGAGAGTCAGAACTTTCAGTACAAGAAAGGATTAATGAGGCCTCTGCTCTCCCCTTCTTCCTCTTCCCAACACCTCTTCTACATCCTGTCTGTGGTGTCAGTGCATACTGCCTAAAGAACAGTAAAGAGGCACTTCAACCCCTCCTAGCCAGGAAGGCATCCATAAAGGCCTGATAAGGAGCTAGAATCTCCATCCTTACTTTAGTAACAAGGAGCAGCCCCAATATATCTATGGAGGCTGATGGGGAACTTGAACTTTAACCATCACCCTGCAATAATTAGGCGGTAGCCCCTTCCTCTAATGGCAATGGTGCCAGAGAAGCCTACCAAAAATAAAAGATTTAAATAAAATCTAGAGTCTTAGAACAAAAACTCTGAGGATGCAATAAAAAGTCACTCATAATATGAGAAAATGTAAAAATGGAATTAAAGTCTTTGTAGGTGGGGAGGGGAAGAGGGGGTGAAGGGAGGGTGGGGACAAAGGGAAAAATGAGAACCAAGACCTGTCATATAAAGGTACAAGATCCCAGTAATGAATGTAACTGTACTGTCTACCTAGAATGTACCAATAAATTCAATAAAAAAGTCACTCATAATATCAAGAGTAGGAGACCTTCAAGTTAAATGAGAATTGATCAACTGAAGCCAACAGTGATAGAGGTTTCAATTATTTGACAAGGTCAAAAGTGGCCAACATAAAAAGTTTTGATGAGTAGTTATAAACAAGTTTGAAACAAATAAAAAATTACAAAATTTTGCTAATAGGAGATGTAATGAAAAATCACACAGAAATTTAAGAATAGAAAACTACAATAACCAAACTAAAAAACTCCGTGGATGGGCTCAACAGTAGGATGGAGAGGACAGAGGAAAGAGTGAACTTGAATGTAGAGCATTAAAAATACTCAATCTGAATAGCAATGAGCAAACACTTTAAAAAAAAAAAGAAAGAAACCGATCTTCAGGGTTATGTGAGACTATAATAAAAGAACTAACATTTTTGTCATTAGAGATCCAGAAGAGATAGACAATGAGGTTAAAAAAAAGTACTCAAGAAATAATGACTGATCCAGATGTAGTGGTGCAAGCCTGTAATCCCAGCACTTGGGAGGCTGAGGCAGGTAGATTACCGTGAGTTCAAGGCCAGCCTGGGCTACATAGTGAGTTCAAGACCAGCCTGAACTAAATAGTGAGGCACTGTCTCAAAAAAAATAAAATAAAATAAAAAATCAAGCAAACAAGCAAAGAGACAAACAAAAACAAAAAGAGAAAGGCTGAAATTTTCTCAAATTTAGCAAAATACAGATTTAAGAAAGTGGCCAAACCTCAAAGAATATATTCAAAGAAATTCACACCAAGGCACATCATAATCAAACTCTTGAAAACTAAATATAAAGAAAAGTTGAAAGCATCAAAAGAGATAAAAAGCACCTCACCTATAGGAGAAAAACAAGACCAATGTCAGTGTATTTCTCATCAAAACCCAAGGGCACCAGAAATAAATGGCACAACATATTTCAAGTACTTAAAGAAAACAGCTCAATCCTGAATACTGCATCTGGTAAAAGTGTCCTTCAGAAATGAGAGGGGAATTAAGACATTCTCAAAGAAAAACTAAGAGAATTTGTGCCAGCAGACCCATTCTACAAGAATTCCTGAGGAACTTCTTCAAACACAAAATTATAAAAGAAGAAATTGTGGTATCTCAGGAAGAAGAAAAAAAAATAAAGGAAGCTAGGCAAGGTGGTTCACACCTGTCATCCCAACACTGAGAGGCTGAGACAGTAGGATGGCAAGTTCAAGCCTTGCTGGGGCAACTTAGTGATTTAGCAAGACCCTGCCCCAAAACAAAAATCTTTTTAAAAAAGGGGTGGGTGGCGAGTTTGATCTCCGGTACAAAAAAGAAAGAAAGAAAAGTGGGTGGGAATGTAGCTCAGTGGGAAGGCCCTAGATTCAATCCCCAGTACCACAAAATAAAAATTTTTAAAAAAGATTATATAGGGCCAGGGATTTAGCTCAGTGGTTCTGGCACCTGCCTTGCAAGCACAAGGACCCAAGTTCAATCCCCACTGCCAAAAATAAATAAATAAATAAAAATTAAAAAAATAAGAGTATATAAAATAGACTTCCCTTCTTCTGTTTTTAAAATATGAAAGGCAAAATTTTCAGGTGCAATGGTGCATGCCCATAATTCCAACTGCTCGGGAGGCTAGATCACAAGTTGGAGGCCAGTCTGGGAAATTCTGGGGATGTAGCTCAGTGATAGAGCACTTGCCTAGCATGAGCAAGGGCCCAGGTTGAATCTCCACTGCTGCAAAATAAAACGTCAAATTTTGCTAAAGTTCCAAATATAGACTGAGCCTTAGATGATATGAGAGTATTGCTATTTTTCTTAAGTGTCATAATAATATTGTGGTTATGGGGGAGAATGTCTTCATTACCGAGAGATGCGCACTGGAGTATTTAGAGGTGAAGCGTAATGAAACTGACATTCAAATGGGTCAGAAGAAAAGTGTAGCTATAGAGATGAATAGAGAAAAACACAGCAGAACATCACCTACCACTTGTTGGCTTATGAGGTAAACATAGTTGTGCTCACTGTACTATTCTTTTAACATTTCTGTGTACTGGTAAGTTTTCATTTTTAAAACAGTTAGAGGATAGATATGTGGTATAGATATATGTAAATACGGTAAAATGTTCATGAGAATTCAGGTGTGAGTAATTTGAGTGTTCACTGTAAAACTCAGTTTATCTGTATGCTTGAAAATTTTCATATTAAAAGATAGGAATAAAAAACCTGAAGAAAAAATTCCCAAACCAGTGTCCTCCCATAGCATTCCCAATGTGTCTTACCATGATTTACTTTTTTCTTTTACCCACAGCACCTATCCTCACATGAGCTGTTTAATTCACTTATTTATTGTGCTTACTTTTGTCTGTGTCCCCTCACTAAAATGTAAGTTCCCCAAGGATAGGAATTTGTTCTGTTTGCTGCTATCCTGGGACAGTGTTTTCTATGAATATTTGTTGAATTAAAGATGAATTTCTATGCTTAGCATCTATGTCAAGGTCTGGTACAGAATAGGTATTAAATGAATGTTTCTTGAATTGAACTCAGATCTAAGGTCTGCAGAACTTAAATATACCTCTTGTACTAGGGTGGTTCAGAGGACAGACTCTGGAATAAAATGGCTAGGAATTGCATCCTGGTTCTGCCACTTTCAGCTGTGTTACCTAGCTGTTAACACTTCTTTGGGGAGGGGGTACCGGGGAATGAACTCTGGACCTTCCTTGCACTTGCAAGGCAGGCATGGTGCCACCTAGCTAAATCCCTGGCCCCTGTATTAACACTTCTGAGCCTCAATTTTTCATTAGCAAAATTCTAATAATAACATTACTACCTTGGTTGAGTTTTTGTTTGCATGTAAAGCACTCAAGACTTTGTAAAGACTCAATAATTGTCAGTTAAAGGCAAAACCAAAGGAACAAAAAGAGCCTTCCTGGCTTGTCATCTTTCCCTCCGTACCCCAACAGTTGGAGCAACCAGAGGCTAAAGAGATATCCTTGGATAGTTATTCCTAAGATCTCCAAACCCACAGAATGGCTTCTCTTACTTCAGGTCTCTTCTTATCCCTTCTCCCGTCCTGAACCCTTTCCTCTTAGCTTCCCGAAGCTCCCTCCCCCATCACAACTGTCATAAGCACATAACCAAGGGTAGCAGTGTGTGGGTCAGGGATGAGGGCTTCCAGTTTTCTGCTACCGCCTACTCTAGGGTTTGAGTTCCCTCGCTGGTGATGTAAGGAGGTCAAGTGTGAAGTCATGGCCATTTCAGGGGTCTAGAGGATAAGAGAACAATAGTCCCGAGGAGAAGGCATTGATAGGAGAGCAGGCCTCATATGCTGCCCTCTTCCTTGGTCCCTTGTAGGAGAAAGCACCTTCCTCACCGCGTTCAGACGTCCTTTGGTCGGTTTTGCTGCCTGGAATCTTCACTTCTGGTGGCTCAGCTCAGAGCAAACCCAGGGACCCATTGAGCATCTTTCGGCAACTCTCTCTTGGAAGTGGGGTGGGGCAGGGCTGGGGACGACCTGAAATTGGGGGTGTAGGGGTACGGCATCGTGCGCCTGAGCTCTCCAGCGGTCCAAGCCCCTCACCCCACCCTAGGGTCGGCAGTGTCCCAGAGATCCGGGAAGCTGGGGCTGAGCCCGGGGGCGCCGCTGCTTCTGTTCCTTTAAGAAGCCGCTGTTTAGCATTCCTGCCGCTGCCGCTGCCTGACTCTGCGCGTTGATTGGCTGGAATCAACTGAGAAGGGAGCCGGGGAGAGATGCTTAGATGCTCTCGACTCCACTCATCCATCCTGGGGACCCGAGCAGAAGCGGTCCTCTCTGCACCCAGCCTCTGCCTGGGCTCCTATTTCTTCTTTGCCGCTGGGCCTCGGCCCAGGAGCCACGACGGGCGACACGGAGC